TATATATATAAACATATGTATGTATATCTATCTATACATATATGCGAGCACATTTGCCTGCGCTGCTCCTCCTCCGTCAGGTGCGGCTGATCGAGCAGCTCCCTGGGCCCAAGGGGCTTCCGCTTCTGGGGAACCTCCTGCACATGTGGGTCGACCACGAAGGTCAGTCGAGCCAACAAAAATTTGCAATGAATTTTGAAATGTTAGACAGTTTAGTTTCTTCCTATTCTTGTGATAATTTGTTAACTTTTGTTCTTCTTACGATTATTTTGCAATCCACTTTCTCAAGCGATATTTTTCAATCTTCAGAACTCTTCCGGCGCCTCTGCAATATCTGCGAACTCGGCAACGTTGCACGATTCTGGGTGGGGAGCAAGCCGTACTGCATCGTGAGCAGCGCCAGGGCGGTGGAGGTGAGAGAACGGTGAAGCTCGTTCCAGAACATTCCTCCGTCACGTCACTACCATGTCGTTTCAGAGGATGACCTGCTGTGTTATCAAAACGAAGAGAAAAGTAGAGGAGTCTATGATATATCAGGATTTCGTACAACTGGTTTGAAATGGCTAATGCACTTGCGAAAATGACGCGTGTTCCTCTACCCGCAGACAATCCTCAGCAGTTCGAAACACATCGACAAGAGCTGGGACTACACGCTCTTCCGCCCTTGGCTTGGAGAAGGACTGGTCACGTCCGCAGGTAAATCGAAAATGGAACAGAATCTCAGACATGAAATCTTATGCAGTGTGCGTGACCGTCGTTTCAAGAGGAGTGTCAAAAACTTTCCGTCTTGCTCTCCTGCAGGTGTCAAGTGGCACACGCGCAGGAAGATGCTGACACCCGCTTTCCACTTCAAGATCCTGGAGGATTTCGTGGACGTCTTCACAGCTCAAGCCGCAACGCTGGTTGAAAAACTGAAGACCAAGGCGGACGGACGGCCATTCGACATCTATAATGATATCACGCTGTGTGCTTTGGACATCATATGTGGTTAGTCTTACTTTTTAACCTGAATATTTTATGACCATTTTATTCAGGATTAAAGAACAAACGCAAAAATAGACGCACATGCGCACACGCACAAACAGACATGTAAAGATACCTTCTTCCTCTGCATTGCCATTTTATTATCGATTTCCTTATCAGTTCCTTCATTAACTACTCTGTCTACTTTCCTCGGTCCAGAAACAGCCATGGGGAGGAGCATCAACGCCCAGAGAAACTCCGAATCAGAGATCGTGAAAGCCATTCACAAGTAGGTTTCAGGAGGCGGTTGAAAGCTGTCGGGAGGGAACGACATGCTGGCAGAGAGAGAGATTGATTGGTAGATTAGTTGGTATATAAATATGTAAGTAGATATATATAAGTAGATAGATAGATGGAGTTTGAGGTTTGAGAAATAGACAGGCAGGTAGATATAGACGAATATATATATATATATATATATATATATATATATATATATATATATATATATATATATATATGTATATATATATATATATATATTTATATAGATAGATAGATAGATATAGATATATATGTGTGTGTGTGTGTGTGTGTGTGTGTGCGTGTGTGTGTGTGTGTGTGTGTGTGTATGTGTGTGTGTGTGTATGTGTGTGTGTGTGTGTGTGTGTGTGTGTGTGTGTGTCTGTGTGTGCATGTGTATATGTGTGTGTGGTGTGTGTCTATATATACATATATATATATATATATATATATATATATATATATATATATATATATATATATATATATATGATCATGATCCCAACGATTAACAATAATAACAACATTGATTGCAATAATATTCAATGCAATAACATTGACAATACTCTAATAATAAGTTAACAAAGACGATGGTAATTATTATAGTTATAATAGTACTTGTTGGATGAAAAGTTAGAGATGTAGATCAAATAGTTCCATTTAAGCAAATGAATGATACCAGAACTTAATTTTCCTTGAACTTTTTTATCTTTAACCCATTCGCGCCGGGCGTCACGTATAGGTGACGGGCCCACTTTGAGTTTACTTGTTTGATTGTTTACAAACATAGATGGCTCCACTTGCACTTGTACTGCCTGTCTCGTCTGTTTACCCTTTTCTTTAATTTACGAAATTATTTTGCGTTATTTTATTTTCCTGTTACTAATGTTTATTACATTAGAGTAATTATAATGTTTATAATAGAAATAACCATCGATATTCATAGCACTATTAAAAATACATTTTCCCGCCAAATGAAATCCGGTAAAGCAGAGCCATCTAGTGTAGAGAAATTACATTAAAAAATATAAAAAATGAACACAGCATTTCCCCCATTTTTTGTTCATTTTTACCCGGCGCGAATGGGTTAACTATACCATACAAGTCTCCGTAACCAAGATTTCTACAGAGGGGAGGGAGCCGGGGCGCAGGATGCTTAGGTCTCCAGGATTTTCGAAGGAGGGGTTTGTGACGAATGGCTGCATTCTCCACCTTTGTGCTTTAGCAGGGAGTTATTTCACTCCCTGTTCAACATTTGGTATAAAGGACACGGTCCACATATCGTTGGAGAGGGGGGAGGGGGAGGGCACGCACCCCTCGCACCATCCACCCTACCACTCAGAGCGGTTTTATATTAATAATCGTTTAGGGAACAATAAAGACAGCAGCATTGATCATAATGATCATGGAACTACGTCTGCTAGTAATATTATTATAATAACAGTCACGAAAATAGCAACGGCAATAATAATTATGATAATATTACTGACAATGCTAAGAATAATTATCAATTTCTCAGGATGGGATCCCTTTTGTTTGTTTGTTTTTTATTTGTTTGTCTATGTCCTCACGGATATCGCATTTCCTCTCTCAGGGAAACTTGCCGTGACTTCACTCTCCTTCGCCAGTCACAGCTGTAGCCTCAGAGGGCGTTTCTCGGGTTTAACGCAACTTTTTTTCAACTTTACTTTGCTACTTTACTTTACTTTAACTGAACTGAACTTCAATTACTTCAGTTCACTTTACTGGAATCTTACCTTACTCTATCTTTACTGTAACCTTCTTTTAACCTCACTTAAACCTTACCACAAGCCGCCTTTCCTTCGGCTCGCCCGTCTTGACCTGAACTCGGCCCTTCGCCAGGATGGGCACCTTGATCCAGTTCCGGCAGTTCCGTCCGTGGCTGCATCCCGACTTCGCGTTTCGCCTCACCAGCCACGGCAGGGAGCAAGAGAAGTGCCTGAGGGTGATCCACGGACTCGCTACGGACACCATTGAATTGAGGAGGAAGGCAAGGCAAGAGGAGAAGAGGTGGAGGAGAGAGGAAGAATGGAGAGGAGAAGATGATGCCTGTGGTTCGTTAGTTTCAGTTAGAGTTCATTTTCTCTGTTTATGGTTTTTTTTTCTCTCTCTCTCTCTTACTCTATATGTTCTCTTCTCCCCTTTCTTTTCTTTTTCTTTCAATTTCTCTCCCTCGCTCATCTTCGCTTGCTCCACCTCTTCTGTTGTAATAAACAAAAGCATTACCATCATCTTACCCTCCTTATACATATAATCGTCGTTGCTGTCATTATTATCAAGCCGGAACTCCTCGAAAATGTGTCTCTCCATTTTTTCTCTTCATTTCTCCCGCCCTTCCTCTCCGACCAAAAGGCATCCCCGGCCAGAAGACCCGCCACGCCTTCCTGGACCTCCTTCTGGAATATTCCGAGAAGGACCCAACGATCACGGACGAGGACATACGCGACGAAGTGAACACTTTCATGTTCGCCGGACACGACACCACCTCCGCCGCCATGAACTGGTTCCTGTACGCCATGGGAAGCCACCCGGACGCACAGGTAGGACGGAGGAGAGGTAGCCGAGGAGAGGGGGAGGGGGGCGAGGGGAGGGGGACAAAGAGAAGGGGCCGAGGAGAGAGGGACATAAAGAGGGGGTTAAGGAGAAGGGGACAAGGGGAGGGGCCGAAGAGAGGGGGACGAGGAGGGAGAGCGTGTTTATGTGCGGGAAAGTGTATGCATATATCGTGTTTCTCTTGAACATAAACACACGCATATATAGATAGATAGATAGTAGATAGGTAGACAAATAGGTAGATAGATAAATAGAAGGACAGATGAATATAGATATAAAGGGAACAGTGTTTTTTCATTCGACCAGGAGCGCGTTTTCGAGGAGATCGAAGCCGTGATGCAGGGTTCCGACAGAGCGCCGTCCGCGTCCGACCTGCGGGAAATGAAGTACCTGGAGCTGTGTCTGAAGGAAACTCTGAGGCTCTTCCCCCCGATTCCCATGATCATTAGAGAGCTGAAGGAAGATGCCGTTATTAGTAAGTTTTGTGGAGAGAGAGAGAGAGAGAGAGAGAGAGAGAGAGAGAGAGAGAGAGAGAGAGAGAGAGAGAGAGAGAGAGAGAGAGAGAAGAGAGAGAGACAGAGAAGAGAGAGAGAGAGAGAGAGAGAGAGAGAGAGAGAGACAAAGACAGACAAAGACAGACAGACAGACAGAGACAGAGAACTACCTATATCGCTTCGAATTTCATTACTATTATCAAAAATCTTTCAAAGTCTTATAATTTTCACCTATTTACTTTTCCTACATCCTGAAACGGATAACTTGTGTATTCCCGCATTCATTTAACATATATATAATTAATTACATTAAGTCTAATAAGATATTTTCCGGTATGGAACCACTAGTAATGCATTTCTTTCTCATGCCATTAATCCAACAAACGACTCTTCTAAGACACTCTAGACTCTAGAAAGTAGGTTTGTGAAGCATAATTTATAAACATTAAATTTCCTCCCAACCCCACCACAGTTAACAAGAAACTAATAGTATTCTGACCTAAAACTCAATTCTTCATTTCTTCTAAAAAGCTGCTTTACTTGATTCCGCTAAAAGCAAAATGTATAGATTAATTAAGGAATAAACAAAACTGCCTCCCCCACTAGGCAGCTATAGCATCCCCGCCGGCACGAGCATCGTGGTCCACGTGTTCCGCCTCCACCGCGACCCGGAGCAGTTCCCCGACCCGGAGGTGTTCGACCCGAACCGCTTCCTGCCCCAAAACTCCCTCAGGAGACACAACTACGCCTTCGCCCCCTTCAGCGCCGGTCCCAGGAACTGTATCGGTGAGTTTGTGAGTTAGGAAAAACACTGTGATTATGTTGGGGAGTTAGCAGGACTCAGGGGATATATCGAGATAAAAGTTGACACTAAGGAGGACACGTTGCTGCCTGGAGCGCCCTTTTCTAGCCACGAGCAGCCAGGTAGGTCTTCGGCCTCTATTTCATCGTGACAGATTTGCCCAAGATTAGAATACCCTCAGATGCCCCAAAAGCCTCCCGTCCAGGGTAGATAATACTACTGGAACCCTCACTTTATCTTTACATTAATTTATCTTTCTTTTAACTTCATGTCCATGTATTTGGGTTCTGAAGATTATGCCTTGTGTGTGTGTTTTTCCCTATAATTTTTGTGTTTCCGATAATACATCAATTAACTCCCCAGGTGGCTGGTATTTGCTCGCTGGCTTCTAAATCTTTTGTTTGTTTGTGTTATTAGCCTTATTCTTTGACTGTTTTCCCCATTAATCTTCTGTGTTGGAAGCGTAGACTTGCTTGCCTTGTGAACACGTTAAAGCACTCCTATGTTTTACGATGAACAGCACTGCTATTTGTTTCTGGTTGTAAGCAACAGATCATAGAAGGTTTCACTCTGCTGGCCTATCATTTATATTTGACTCGAAAAATAGAGAAATACCAATAGCTTCATAAAAAAATAAGTGATGATAGGATTTACATTCACATTCGAGTTAATTAATTAAACCCAAATCCCATTCTGCTCTTGCGCGTCAAAAGTAGAGCAGCTGCACTCGCCCAAAGAACCAAAGTCAGCCCCGCCCCACGCGCCCTTTCCTCCGGCAGGGCAAAAGTTCTCCCTCCTCGAGATGAAGGCCATCCTGTGCAGCATCCTACGCACGTTCCGCGTGGAGAGCGTCGTCCCTCGGAAGGACCTCAAGCTTCTGGCGGAGCTGATCCTCCTTCCCAAGGGCGGGAACCTCGTGAGGCTGTTCCCCAGGGGTGAAGGAGACGACGGGCGGCGTGGATGAGCATCAGAAGGATAGTGAGGATGCTGATGATGACGATTATAATGGTGATAGTGATCAGCTTTATCACTTTTGTTGTTGTTTTTTATTGTTATTACTTTCACTGTGATTATCATCATTGTCATTAGTGTTATTTCATTTTTATCATTATCTTTGTCAGTGATATTATTACTCTTACTATTATTTTATTATTATTATTATTATTATTATTATTATTATTATTATTATTATTATTATTATCGTTATCGTTATCCTTCTTACATCACTATTATCATCACTATCATTATTCTTATCATCGTTCTTGTATAACAGATCATTTGAGAAAAAAACAAGGACAATATTCATGAAGGTAAAGAATAAGGAGAAGAAGGAAACCAACATCTGCACTTGCGCCTGCATGCATTCAAGCACAAGCATGCGGAAGCTCACTCAGGGAGCCTGTTTCAACCCGTCTGTTTTCACCGAATAGAGTTTATTGCTGCTGATGATTTTTTTTTTTTTCAGAGTTCGTAATACTATTGATGTTGTTCGTACCGTCCATATCGTTATTGCCATTATCACTTTAACCGCCATTATGATCATGCGCTGCTCTTGTCTTGCCATAATCTTACTTCTTGTCATGAATGTTTTTATCTTACCGAATTATGACCCGTATTGCGATTCCCATCATTTGTGCTATTATCACAGTTGTTACCATGAGTATTATTATTACTATTATTATCATCATTGATACTATCATTATCATCATTATGATCACAATTATTATTGTTATTATATTATTATTCACATCCTTATCAATGTCAAAATTATTGTTAGGAATGATATTATCACAAAACTAATATTATCTTCACAAACATTGTTGTCAACATGATGCTCAATATCGTTAACTTAATTTCTGATATGATGGCCCTTAGCATTATCATTGTTTTTCTTACAAGTATTGTTATTGTTAGTATGAATGTTATGTTACTGTTATTGTTATCATAATAATTATCATGAACATCTGTACCATTGCTATTATTGTTATTATCATTTTGACTGTGATCATTAGCATTGTTATTTGGGGGACGATCTGAAAAAAAATGCAAACATATAAGCCAACAACTGGCCCAGTCAGGGAAACGAAAACGAGATTTCTAGTGAGTTCTTTCCTCCGGCAAATCTTCTATCTCCGGGAAATAAATCGACTGGGGAAAATCTGAAAATAAATAAATAAACAAAAATGAATAAAATATTTTTTTATCATATAATCCTAACAATCAACAACCAGTTAAATCAAGTAGGCTGGTAGTTATTTATTGAACATTTTCTGCCGCGTAAACATCTAAGGTGATTAGACGCATTCAAAATCCCGCGATGGGTGATGCTTGAGGCCGCAGCCCACAAGGAGGCGCAGTGGGTCATAAGGCGAAGTTTGTGGATTTCCAGGTTGTTTAACACTCGAAACTAACAAGTGTGCCAGACATCATATAACATTATGATAAAGTCTTCTGGCAAAAAGGGTAAAAATGAGTGAACGATTAGTATAAGTGGACAGAAGAAGAGATGAAAAAGAGGAGGAAAAGAATAGAAGGAGAAGAAAAGACCATGCAGAATACGTTGAAGGTTGAGGCCCAAGGCAGGCTGATCCACATTGGGCCTCAGTCTCCGTCGCTTACCCCCCCCCCCCACCTACCCACCTACCCCACGACAACAACGAACAAAGGTTGGGGCGGGGGGGTCGATCAGTCAGCACGTGTGTTTGGTAAAGACTGGTGGTTTCGAGGAATGAGGGATTTTAGTCTTAACGAGCGAGGTAATCAGGAAACATTGTGAATTAACAACCAATTTGTTCTAAATGAAGAAAAAGGTATAAATAAATATAGCATTTACATATGTCTAAATTGTAGTTGTTTTGTCAAATAAGTCTTCGTTATGCTATTTCAACCTATGTTCTTTGTTATTGGTGCAATTTGATAATCACTGCCTTAAAGGTAGCAATGTTATTGTTATTGGTATTATTATTATATGATGAGAATCTCAATGTATTTTTGTGTTTAATAAAATAGAAAATAAATGGATAATTTTATTTACTAGAAAAGACATTATAGTCTTAACTGAACAGAGATATCGAAAATGGTACCATATGTATGTATAGACAGATAAATATACAAACAGCTACACACTCAAATAGAGAGAAAAAAATCTATTTGCCCTTCATTAGTTATGTAAATGTAAGGCACTTTGGAGCCAAACGCCATCTTTCAAAAGCGGAAACATTTCCTTTACTAAATGCGAGCATTTTAGGAATTAAGCCAAGTATGCAATTCCAACCCTCATCAGTAATATCCTATCGCCCACTTGAGAGAATGAAAATAATAATAATTTTATTTCAAATCGAGTGCATCGCCTTTCATGGAATCTCATACAACTAATCCTCTGCTTCCCAGAATAACAAAACCGCCCACAGCAACAGCAGCAAGTTATTAATAACACTATTTCAAAGTAGAATGACAATAATAATAATAATAAATGAAAATAATAATAAGGATTTCAATGCAATACCCACATTGCTAGACAAAGCTTAGTCTCGGATGAATCACGTGGCCCTGAGTATGTACGAAGTCAATTCTTCCAGCGAGGAACCCTGGAGGGCGATCGTCTCGAAGGGGAATTGCCCTTGGCACTGGACTGAAAGGGCTCGCGAGCAGTCGGCGGTTTGCGTCGATCCCTCGGTGGCTGGGAATACGAAGCAGGTGTAAGAGACGCTTGGTACTTTTGGTTCAAATACATGGGTTGGGCGACAGGTGAACGTTTCAGGGTTTTTTCTACATCATTGCAAAGTCCATGATGCACACTGATTAGAGAGAGAGAGGGGGGGGGGGGGAGAGAGGGAGAGAGAGAGAGAGAGAGAGAGAGAAAGAGAGGGAGGGAGAGAGGGAGAGAGAGAGAGAGAGAGGGAGAGAGAGAGAGAGAGAGAGAGAGAGGGAGGGAGAGAGAGAGAGGGGGGGGAGGGAGAGAGGGAGAGAGAGAGTGAGAGAGAGAGGAGAGAGAGGGGGGGGAGAAAGAGAGAGAGGGGGGGGGGAGAGAGAGAGAGAGAGAGAGAGAGGGATAGAGGGAGAGGGAGAGAGAGAGAGAGAGAGAGGGAGAGAGAGAGAGAGGGGGGGGAGAGAGCGAGAGAGAGAGAGAGAGAGAGAGAGAGAGAGAGAGAGAGAGAGAGAGAGAGGGAGAGAGAGCGAGAGAGAGAGAGGGAGAGAGAGAGAGGAAGAGAGAGAGGGAAAGAGAGAGAGAGAGGGGGGGGGGGAGAGAGGGAGAGAGAGAGAGAGATTTGATTTGATTTGATAAATTTATTACGCCCAGTGGACGACAGACAATTTGACAGAATTACAAAAGCTGCATAACCGTGTCTTGTAGGGCACGTTGTGAATACACACACACACACACATAAATATATATATATATATATATATATATATATATATATATATATATATATATATATATATATATATATACAACTCATTGAGATTCAAACACTGATCAAACCAAAAAAAAATACAGAACTTTTATCTAACACGTCAGTCGAAGAGTATTAGTGGAAGAAAAAGGAATGACACCAGTTGCCATGTAGTGTCTCCGTTTCATTATTGTTATTCTTATTCTTATTATCATTATTATTGCTGTTACTGTCATCGCAATTATTAGTATCATGTTATTATTGCTATTATTATAATTATTATCATCATAATTGACTATTATTATAATAATTATTAGCAATATTAACTTTATCATTATTGTTGTTGGTATTCTTATCATTATCATTATTGGCATTAGTATCATTATCATTATCATTATCATTACTATCATTATCATTATCATTATTATTATCAATACTATCATTATTATCATTAATGTTATTATCAT